TCCTCCCTTTCGGCCTGGCGGGCCAGCCGGCCGGACCCCCCCTCGCCCGGCAGCGGCTCCAGCAGGGCACCAGGGCTCAGACTCTGCAAACAGAAGAGCCCAGCCCAGCCCAAGGGTGAGGGCAGAGCGAGAGAGAGAGCGCGCACGCGCAGGGTTCCTGCGCCTTCTGTCAGAGCGCCACTTCCCCTGCCAAGGGGCTCGTATCTCTCACGGGGGGCGGGAGGAAGGCAGCCACAGGGAAGAGTTCGCCTCCCCCCTGGGTTCAGGGAGAGGGGGCGCCCTCCCTTCTTGTAGCCCTCCAGTTAGGCATCCACAGTTCCAGCAGGAATCTTGGGGGGCAGGGGAGATGAGCGGTTCACCTGGCTTGAGCCGGGAGCCTGCCTTGCCAAGGAGAAGTGGGAGAGGGACCGCACGGAGGGGAGCCCCCGAGGAAGGCGGCGTGCTCCGGGAGGCTGACCTGCCTGAGAGAGGCCTCCTTCTCCAGCTGGAGCTGGCGGGGGACGCGCGTCTGCTCTACCATGCTTGCCTCCTGCTCCCGGCGAGACGTCTGCAGGGCCTTCAGTTCAGCCTGCCGGGGATGGCGCTGGGCCCGGAGGCCGTTCCCTTCTGCTGCCTTCCCTGAAAGCTGCGGCCGGCAAAGCAAGACGGGGCATCTTGCCAAGTGGCCGGAGAGTCCAGGCCCTCGGCCCCACCCCCACTCCGCCTAGCCTCCTGCCACTGGAACGTGTGGGCCGCTCCTCCTTCCTCGTGAGGCCGGCGGTCAAGACCTCCTGACTCCTACCCCTCCGTCTGACGCCGGGGGCATCTCCTGAAAGGAAGGTCCCTGGGGGGGAGGCAGGCTGGCTTCTGGGACAGACGCTGCTGCTGACCGCCGGGCAGAGGCCACCACCCTTCCCTCGCCCACCCCAGGGAAAGGAGGCCTGTCTGACCGACTGCCTCTAGGAAAGGGAGCCACGGACCCGGAAGGGTCACTTGGCTCAGCCTCAGAAGCCCCCTTCGGGAGCGCCAGGGAAGGTGGAGCCCTGTGGCCCTCTGGGACCAAAGCCCCATATCCTCAGCTCCGCTCTGGCCACAGACCCCCCACCCGCCCCGCCGCCCTGTCCCGGCCCGGAGAGGTCATCTGTCTGTCTGTCTGTCTGTCTGTCTGAGGACCGCTCTTGGCCCTCCCCCCCACCTCTCATGCAGGGACGGCCCCGGGTGGGGGGGGATGGGGGGAGGACCGTGGCGTAAGTGGAGAGGTCAGCCTTTTGGGGGGGCTACCTTTATAGGACCTGGTCAAGGAGGCTGTCGGTCCCCCAAACGTCACCTCATCCTTCCCTTGTGCCTGGGCTTCCGCCGCAGCTTTCAAGCCTCCTCGGGGCTCTGCAGTGGCCTCATCCTGGACGCCCACCTGGGAAAAGGGCTGTGTGAGAACCTGCCCAGCCCGAGGGCTGCGGGGATTCCAGAGATAATGCCCAGAACTCAGAATCCCCTCGGCGGCCGCATTCTCTCTCTCTCCCTGGCAGGAAGGAGGAGGAGGAGGAGGAGGGAGGCGTGGGAGAGCCCGTCCCGTCCCAGCCGGCGGCAGCCAGTGTGCTGGCCTTTTGCCAGGAGGTCTCATCCCGTGGTCTTAGTGCAGCCACGTCCGGTGCCAGCCACTCGGGCTCAGCATGCCCTTGAGATAGCTGCCTCCAGCATCGAGACGGCACCTCTCGGGCAGCCTAGACCTCGGCCGGCCTCCTCTTTGCTCTCTGGCAGCTGCCTCTGAGAAGGGACATGTCCCGGTGAGACGCCGCGGAAGGAGGCCCAGGAAGAGACCCCCCGCCCCTGCCCTCCTTCCCAGGTGCCAGAGACTCCTACCCTGCGGAGGACCTTTCTTCCCCCGGGTGAGACCTCCATACCTGCCCTGCCCTCTCCGGGGCCGAGGCCGGTGGCAGCAGCCCCCTCCTCTAGCCACGCAGGCCCCCTCCCTCTCTCGCCCACGCCCGCTCAGGCAGATGGGAGCCCCGCTCGGTTCCACTCCACAAAGCATCCCCCAGGCCATGCCACTCTCACGGCCGCCCTCGGCTCTGGCAGCCCCCTTCAAAGGCAGCAAGACCGCTGCCCTCCAGGCCTGGAAGAGAAGGGTCGGGGGGGGGAGAACACCCCTGGGGCCGCCCGCCCCCCAGCCCGGTCCACCCCACAGCGTGCCCAAAGAGAGGCAGGAGGAGGGCTGGGACACCACCCCCAGGGCTGTTCGTACTTGCTCTTGCGCGCTCTGCAGGCGCTCCAGGGGCTCTTGGGCTTGGCCTTCTGACTGCCGGACGAGCCCTGCTTGCTCGGCCCTCGGCTGCTGCCCGTGGCTGTCTCGCTCCCAGAGCCCGTGCAGAGCCTCCCTCTGCTCCACAACCTGGAAAGCAAGAGGAGAGACGGACGGTGAGGAGGGCCCTTCCTGGCTCTTGCCCTCCCCTGGGCCTTTCCCTGCAACAGGGAGAGCCCTGAAAATGGGGTCCCTCTGCCCCACCACCCTGGAGCGCAAAGGGGCTGACACCTCCTCTGGGAGCCGCTGCCCCCCTTGACCTTTGGGAGTCCACAGGGCAGAGCAAGGCACCACCCAGCACAGTGCGCGGCTCGCCTTCAAAGGCAGCCACAGCCAGCCAGGCCCTCCATGCACCGCTGCCTTCGCAGAACAAGCCCCTGACCGTGAGGATCTCATCCCTCCCTCCACCGCCAGCACCGGGCCCAGCCAGAGATCAATAGCGTTGAGACAGCCAAAGAGATCCCTTTCGCTCATGAAGCACCTGATCCATACGAGCCACTCTACTCCCCTGAGCACGCACGGAGGCGCAAGCGCCCAAGGACTGGGGCCTGAAGGCTGGAAGGGGCCACTAGCCATTCCCTCGGAGCCCAAACTCTCCCCAGCACGAAGAATCCCCAACAGGAAAGGGATCGGTGAGACCCCCCCGAGCGCCAGCCCCAAGGGCCAAGTGGGAGAGGGGGCGCCTTCCCCTATGACCAGCTGGCCTTGGCACACCTGCCATGGCTCCCGTCCCCCAAATAGGCAAAAAGCTGGAGAGGAGAATCCCGCCTCTTGTTAATTGCCACTTTCATGCTATTCTTTTTGAGCCTGCGCTAATTGAAATTAAGCAGCTGCCACCTTCTGCCTGTGACAAAAGCCATTTCTTTTCGGCTTCCCTGTGATTTAATGAAGACGGACAGGCGGCGAGGAAACCACCACAGGTCCTCCGGAGGCCGCCCTTCCCCGGCAGGGCATGCAAGGGGGCGCCCAGCTAGGCGGAGCGAAGAGGGCAGGCAGGGGCCCCCGAAGGGCCCCTCTGTCGGTGGCTGCCAGCCTTGGGCGTCAGGGGCCCCACTGTGGCCTCCGAGCCGCTGGCCTTCTCCCCACCTCTTCCTCAGCAGGGAAGGGCCGACCCACCGATCCCGAACGGTCCTGCTGGCCGCAGGTGACCGCACGGCTCCCTTAGGATACATTTCCTGGAAAAATGTCAGCATGGTCTGGAATGATGCTGTAGATGGCGGTGAGCAAAACAGATCCCTGGGGCCCCCTCTGCATTGAAAGAGAGAGATGGGGAGGTGGCGCCCAGGAAAAAGAAACACCCCCCAAAAAACCTAGGAAGGGCACAGAGAATGTCTCCTTTGAAAAAGACTCCAGGGCCTCCCTTGCAGAGCTCATACCGAATGTTCGTTTTTCAAACATTTGGGGATTTGGCTGTTTTGAATGTTAAGCAATCCCTGCGGATCCTGGAGGGTCTCATGGGCAGAAAATGGTCCCTGGCACCCCTGGCGCCGCTTGCCACTCCGGTGCACACCTCCCTCGGTGGTTCCAGGGAGAGCGGGCGGTGAGAGCAGACACTGCCCCCCCTGCAATTTCTTGGGGTTCCCCTCAGCCTCCAAAGGAGGAGCACGGCTGCTCGGCACGCCCTCTGCAGCTCCCTCCGGGTTCAACTGGGGAACCACGAGGCAAGCTGTTCTTTTGCCTCTTTCTAGTGCCAAGCCATGCCCGCTGCCAACGCTCCTCTGGCACCCGAGGTGTGCAAAACACGGAGAAGATGCCTCCAGGAGGGCATTCCAGGCAGGCCCTCCGCGCTGCACAGAGAGAGGGTTCCTCTTCACCAGAGAGCGATGAGCTAATTCGGCCAAAGAGTTTGCCTACTTCTGGAAACCACGGGACAAGCAACAGAAGGGCCCAGCTGGGGTCTGGAGTCTGTCCCCCCCCCCATCCCTCTCTCACAGGAGGGCAAAGTGGGAGCAGGGCGCCGGCACACCGGTCTTCCCTCGGCCTGCCGGGCGGACCTTCCCTTTTGCAAAGTCACAGCGGCCCCGGCCTCCAGCGGCGCCAGCTCAGCACCTGGGGATAGGCGTCCTGAAGCAGGAGCCCAGGCCCTCATTAACACCCGCCTCCAACATCATTAAGATGTTTCCAAGAAAATTAATTGAGAGACTCATTAAAAATAAATTAAGAAAAATGTGTTGCAGAGTGCCTGCTCGGAGCTCGTAAATCACCCCTCGCAGCTCCGGGCTGCTGTGCAGACAATTAATGCTGGCCAATTTGTTTTATCCTGACCGCGAAAATTAGAAAGCAGACGTGGAGATTAGATTAGGGGTGTCTGTCGAGCGGAACTCGGAGTGCATATTTTAGAATATAAAATGGAAATGAAGAAAACGACAAAGGCCAGGGAGATTTCAGTCACAGAGTTTTCAAGACAGGCTGGGCCAAGATGAAGAACGGCTGGCATAGGGCCGGCAACACCCCAGCCAGGAGCAGGAAAGGCCAGAGAGGCTCGTGGTCAATGGGGCCACCTCCGTGACTCAGGTCTCGGGCCAGCAGGCCCACACCTGCCAGCTATGGGCACAGGAGGCATTCGGCGCACACTGCTCTGTCTCCCTCCCAGCGCCCGTGGGCACCGCTTCCCAGCCGCTCTAGAAAGCAAGCCCGGGAGGCCGCCCGCTGGGGGTCACGAGAGCCCCGCTGGACCAGCCCCAAATCTTGCCATGCTCCACATGGCAGGCCGCAGCAGCAGAGAGCAAAGGGCCTGGTTTGGAGCCGGGGCAGAGAGAGGGGGTGGTGGTGGGGGGGATGACCACGGAGAAGCCAAGAGGAACCATTTTGGGTCCAAGGAAAAGGAAGGGATGAGAGACCCACATCAGGACGTGAGACCCAGGAAGTGAGGTGGGAAGTGAGGGAGGAAAAAGAAAGACAAACGGGAAATGTTCATCCAACGAATGAACGAGATCCTTGGACTCTGAGGGCATTCGCCTATTTGTTGGGGTGGGTGGGAGAGTGCTGGGGGTGGCTAGACTCTCCCCTCTTTTTAAAACCAGGCAGATTGGCAGAGGGATTCACGAGGAAGCAGCCTAACGTTTCCTAAATGCTCGCCTGGGGTAGACCAGGGTCCCCCGACCCCCCCAACACCCCCTTGCAGAAACGGGAAGAATCCGTTGGGTTGACCTCTGAAAACAGGTGGCCTGCACAGGAAGCCTTTGGGACAGAAGGGGCTTGAGAGGAGGAGGAGGAGCGCGTTGGCCGACCTCCCGGGGCTTCAGCTTCTGGCCTGCCCCCGTCTCGAAGGGCTAATAGCCCTGGGGGTGGGGATGGGGACTGGGGTTTTCCAGCAGCATCTGAACATCCTTCGCTGGGGCCTCCGAGGCCGGCCTGCAGTTCTGGAGGAGGACAGCAGGGGGCTCCCCCAGCCTTTGCATCCCTCCGTCTTGCATGCCGCCCCCCCCCCGTCCCCTCGCCGTATAATTCCAAAATGGCAGCTTTTTGAAAATTCACCTTGATTATCAGACATTAGAAGTGACTCATCTTCCAGCAGCATCTGAACCTCCTTCGCTGGGGCCTCCGAGGCCAGCCTGCAGTTCTGGAGGAGGACAGCAGGGGGCTCCCCCAGCCTTTGCATCCCTCCGTCTTGCATGCCGCCCCCCCCCCGTCCCCTCGCCGTATAATTCCAAAATGGCAGCTTTTTGAAAATTCACCTTGATTATCAGACATTAGAAGTGACTCATCCCGCAGTGACTGTCTGGCAGAGCGATGGGATCAGACAGCAGACAATGAGGGACAGGACACATTAACAGTGTCTCTTCCAGAGCCCTCAGAAATACCTTTGTTCTGTCAAAGATCCCAGCCATTTGCTGGCTGTGCTTCTCTTGAAGGACGGGATTCAAAACACCCACCCACACACAGAGGCTGATGCCTCTCCACACACACACACACACACACACACAGACACACAGACACACACACACACACACACATGGGGACACCGTGGGGAGGGAGGCAGGGAGACGGGCAGACCCACTGCGGCCGCCCTAGACCATGGGAAATTCAGCCGCCGACAGGGGCCAAAGGAAGGAAAGCCTTTATGGCGGCTCCTGCACCAACCTGAGGGCCGGATCCCCACCGGATGGGATGCAAGAGCAGAGAGGAAGCCTTGTTGGGGCTCTGCAGCGCGTTCCACGCTTGGTGTGGATTTCCCTGAAAACCCAGCGGAAGGCGGGCCTCCCGGTCATCCCCTGCAGGACTTCTCTGGCCAGCGAACGGGGGCTCCCGGCAGGCGCAAACCCTTCGGTCCTCCCTCAGCTACGACTCCGAGGCGCTCCCGGGCACAGCCCAACCATCCGGGTGCCACAGTCTAGAGCCACGCGCCTTGCCTGCCTCGTGGGGCTAAGCCTCAACAGACCCCTTCGCTGCGGGAGGGAAAGGGGGCAAATGGAGGTGGGGAGCCTCCTTCCGCCCCACACAACGGGATCCCAAACCGCTCCTTTCGCCCCCTTGCCCAGAGGCCGACCTCCCAGTCCGAGGGCCCAAGTATAGGCGTCCAGCAACAAGAACCAGAGCGGACACCCTTCCTGGAAAAGCACAGCCCAACCCTTGCCCCCCCCCGCCTCTGCTTTGAGGGCACAGCCTGGCTGTGGAGGGGGAAAGTTTCCCTAGCAGGGAGGGAAGTAGGCCAGCCCCAAGACCTGGAAAACAGGTAGAAGGGAGGGGAGGGGAGAGCAGAGCAAAGCAGAGCAAATGAAGCCATTGCTGGCTGTACTCCCTGACCAGTGGCATCTTTTCTTCTAAAAGAGGGACCATCTCTCTGCCGTATAGATACACACACACACACACAGAGAGAAGGCAGAATCCCCCAGCCTCTCCGAACCCCCTTCCGTTCCTCAGTACCTCTGAAAGAGCCAGTCTGTATTTGCTCCTCAGGGCCGCCGTCTCCGTCGGGGCTACCACCAGCTCAACCATGGCTCCTTCCGCCTGGAAGACAAGACTAGACCAGCTGCTGGCAGGGAAGCCACAGGGCCATCAGGAGAAACCTTGGGACAAGGCAGACGGGGTGTGTGTGTGGAAGAAAAGCCAGGGGAAGCCGAGTCTCTCTCTCTCCGATTCCTCGGGACCTCCTCTGCCATTCCCAACGATGCCCCTCCATCACAAAGTCACGGCTGTCTTTATAGCTGTGTTCCTTTTGGCTTCCACCGTTCTGTTCAAAGCCAATATTAAAGGCACCACCCGGGTGCACTTTCCTGGTTACTACAGGGAGCCGCAGAAATAGGAAGGAGGCAAACGCAGGTCAAAGCCAGACTCAGACGTTGCTGCATTATTTGCTAGTTACAAATATGTGCTTTACCCCTGACAGTGGCTTGATCAGAGGAGCGGAAGGCATCAAGGAAAAAAAATCATTCCTTTAATTTAAAAAAGGGGGCAGGAACCTATCGTGCGGACTCTCCCAGGTATATTGCTGGAAAGCACTCGGAAGTTATATTACATGCACAGGAAGAACAAGCCTTGCTGAGGGAGAATCAACATGGCCTCTGCAAAAATGAAGACGGATTGCTCCCGTCAACCTGTTCTGAACACAGGCAGGGGGGATAACACGAATCCTTGATTACACCCTGTATAATTTTTCAAGAGCCTCTGACAAAGTCATTCACCAAGCTGTTTGCATCGAACAGAAGCTGATTAAAAAACCCCAAAGCACAGGGAAGGAGCAGAACTCTGCCTCTTCAACACAGAGGGAATGAAACCACAAAATCCCCGAGCAATTTAGACCGGGACTGGAGCTGTCTAGCATTTATCAGCTATCTGAGTCAGCAAGGAGGAGCGAAGCAGAGGGGTTTGTAAAGGGCGTCCAATTATTCACCACGAAGCCCCAAACAGACTGGGCAAGGCGCCAGCCGTTTAGGATCATCACCAAGGAAAATCAGAAGGTTACACTCGGGGAACCCCAATGGAACGAGAAATCATGGGGTCGGGGTGGGGTGGGGTCTAAACTGCCAACCTAGGAACAAGATCCTGACATTCCAGCAGGAAGCTCCCAAAATATGCTGCACCAGTGGAAACAACAGCTTCCGTCTGTGTGAGGGAGTCCTAGGAAAGCGAGGGAACACAGAGAGCCAGGAACATGAACAGCTGCAGGGCTTCTAGACTGTGGTCACCTTTGGAAACCAGGGGGTGACTCACGTCCTCTCCTCTCTAAAAGGGAGCAGTAGAGCAGCAAAGGGGGGGAGGCAGGACAGAGCCACGGAAATGGGCAGAGGGTGGAGCGATTCCCGAAGAGGAGGAGGAGGAGGAGGAAGACGTGCAGCCTTTGGGACTCTCCAGCTGAAGAGTGTGCGGGAAAATGAGACAAAAGTGGCCCTATCCAATTATGGGCAGCCCAGAGGACTGAAAAGGAACTGTTTCCCTCTCTTTGGCCCTTGAGAGGATCTAACGAAGCGGGCGAGCTTGAAGGGTCTGGGCACATGGTGGGAGGGTCCAATTTCACAAGAGCCGTATGTCGGTGGAAGTCACGGCCACCCCTCACGGCAAGCGGGAGGAGGTTCGAGGCCCGTCAAAGCAAGGCTCCCCAGCGGAAGAGGCCCCTTGGCACCTCCCCTCTGCCATTAATGGACCACCAGGAGCATCTTCCACAAGCGGGGCGGCCTCACTGGCCCATCCCTGACTCCGGATACATTATGCGCCAGTTCCTCTATACAAATTCTTGTGGGACCCTGCGGTTTACATCCTTCCGCTGCAGGAAATGACATGCTGGGCTTCCTGTTCCTTAACGATAAGACTTTTCTTCTTGTCGGCCTGCCACGACAACTCAGGAACCTTTTAAGGAGAGGCTCCATCTTCCAAAAGCCAAACATCCATCTAGGCACCTGCGGCTTCAGCATTTGGTCCCTGAGGGGTGAGGGAGGGAGGGCTGACTTCTGCAGAAGCCACGCTCACTTCTTTTCAGCAAGTCTTCTACTACTACAACAACAACTACGTGCTTCATAATTTCATCTTCCATGTTTTCCCCCACTCTCCCTCGAAGAGTTCAGCTAAATAGCCTGCAATTTCACAGAACCCACTGCATCCTTAAAAAATAAAATAAATACTGGTATCATATTGATCCCTTGCCGCTTACAAGGGGCTGAATTTAAAGGCACATTTGTGCTAAGACCCAGGGACAGCGTCCCTTCCCCTCTTATGTTTCTGGTGGCAGAAAATGCTCATGGGGATATCTGGTCTTGCAGGAAGGAAGCAACGGAATATTTGGCAGCACTCAAAGGTCCTCTCAATTCGGACCGCCAGGACAAAAAAGGGTGCCAAGAGCCCCCGCTGAACATCTGGGACGGCAGCCATCAAGGCCCCCCGAGGCCTCTCGAGGTGGGGGAGAGCCAGCCGGAGCCCAGGGCCAGGGTCGGGACCCACACGCGGGAGGAGATGCACTGCTCTGGAGGAACTCGTATAGGAGAGCAGCCGTGCTGCCCGGGAACCGCCTCCATCTTCTGAGGCAGCCTTTCCCAGCCAAGGAAAGGGGTTCAGCTCCACCCTGTGACCCATCGGCAGGTTGGAGGACTTCTGGGACGAAGCTGCGAGACGGCGGCAGCCGGAGGAACGGCACGCGGCTCCCTCACAGACATACCCACGGGCAAGCCACCAGGGAACTCTCCAAATCCAGAGAGCTGTCATTGAGCGCGCTCTGGAGCAAGAGACCGTCAAGCCGTGGCAGACGGCTCGCCGAGGGAGCAGGAAAAAGTGGCCGAGGCAAAAAAGGAAGCCGCCAATGGACAGGAGGCTCATCTCAGCCTTCAAGGCGCCGAGCATGAAGGATGGAGTGGGAACAACCCTGGAAGCCTCTGCCTCCTGGTGCCTGCTTGGCCCTCTGGGGCAGGCCAGACCCTTGCCTTTCCTGTCCTGAAGGGCTTCTCGGCAGACCAACGGCCATGGCTCAGCTTCTGCAGCCCAGGCAGGGGATCCTCCAGAGGCACCTTTCTTTCTTTTTTGGCCCCTGCCAAAAAGGTGGAGGCAAAGCAACTCCCAAGCTGCAGCCTCTAGCAGGAGGGGATTGCCAGGAAGGGGCATGGAGGGTGCCCGGCAGAGTGGCACCAAAGAGGCTTCCATCTCAGTCCTAGGAAATGCCCGCTGGGAGAGGCGTCTGTCCCAGCCTACCATCTTCTCCCCCCCCCCCCGCAGGAGCTTGTTCTGCAACAGCCATGGAGCTGCAAGCGAAAAAGAGCCCTGGATCAATACGGAGAACGCCTGCTCCAGCCTCGGCGAGGGCGAGCGAGACCCGCCCAAGAGGTGCCTGTCGCCCTTGCCTTCAGAGGCCTTCCCCGGCCTGCCCATACCTGCTGATGGGATTCCTCCAGGTCCAGGATTCGGCGGCGCTTCTGCTCCCGTTCCTCCCTTTTCTGGTTCTGCAGCTCACGGATCTTCCACTCCCAAGCATCCAGCTATTGACCCGCCCAGGGAAAGAAAGAAAGGAAGGATGGAAGGAAAGGAAAGGAAGAAAGTGAGGACGGGGAGGGGGGGAGGGAGGGCGGTGGAGAAATCAATTAGTACTGTAGGGGCTTAGCAAAACACACCCGCGCGATGCTCCAGGGGAAAGGCTGATGGTCGGAGGACAGGAAGTCAATATGTGAAACATTGGGAAGTGCTACGTCCACGTGGGGGGCTCTCTCTCTCTCTCTCTCTCTCTGTGTGTGTGTGTGTGTACAGGATGGCTGGCTCAGTCATGATCCCCTGGAAACCCCACTTGTCCAGGGTAGAGGCAGGTGTACTGCTACTACCCAGTCACACACACACACACACAGGCACTCCCACCCTGATCCCACGTGGCTGTCGGCTGGGTTCCCGGTGCTATCTGCCCTGACCATGTGTGAATGCACGCAAGGGGCAGGGATCAGAGAGAAAGAAACAGAGGACTCTTGCCCCGATCGAGCAGGAGCTGCCTCTGAAGCTTCTGGATTTGTGCTGCCTGCTCCTCTTAGCTGAGACAGGTTTCAAAAAGGAGGGAGGGCAGGAGAAAGGGAAAAAGCCAGAGACAGGTTTCAAAAAGGAGGGAGGGAGGGCAGGAGAAAGGGAAAAAGCCTACTGGGGGTGTCAGCCTATAAGCATGCCAAGATTTGCTCCCACCATGGATTTGCTCCCACCGCTTGAGGCATCCAGAGGAGGAAATGCCCCAAAGGGGCAGAGTGGAAGCCGGGGCAGCCAAGATGCCTGCCTCCCTTCACAGCTGTTGCTCTCCGGCTGGCATGACGGCAGCCAGCTCCACCCATCCCAGCCAAGGTGCTCCAAACGAGGGGCAGGCAATGGGAGGAGGCTGATCAACGCTGTAACACCGCGGCCACGTCCCAAGCTTTGAAGCCAACTGGACAAGCAGCAGCAGCAGCAACTCAATCACAGGCAAGGGGGGAGAGGTTTCTCTGGCCTCCTGCCCAAGGGCAGCCTCCCAGTCTCACGCCCCGCATGCCCCCCCCAAAAAAATATATATATGAAAATTGCTGGCCCAGGAGGTCCTGCGGAATCTCCCCTGAACGATGAGCCTGGACCGGCCACCACTCTGGCACAGCCGAACCTCCTCAGTTGCCAGAGGTGGCCGGGAGAGGGGAGAAGGTCAAGCTCGCCTGGCGGTGGTTCCAGGCCCAGGATCCTCACCTCTAGTTTCTGTGGCTGACACGATCGACAGGAGGGGAGCGGGAGACCACAGAGTCTGGCCATCGTTGCACCGCTGATGTTCTGGAACGGAAATATTCAAGAAACATGGAGGCTGCAACGCGGATTCCCAGAATGGTGGGGTGCGGGGAGGCCCCCGGCTCTGCTGCCTTGCAAAGGAGGGCGGAGGAGGAGGCCAAGGAGCAAGGATTTGGTCAGATCCTGAGGGGACGGGGGACTCTTTTGCTATGAGGGACCAAGGCCACAGAAAGAGGGTGGGCCTTGACCCCTCCCACACAGCGAAATGGCCTTGTGGGGCAGCCACGCACCCAAAAGAGACAGGCTCCACATTCAGAAGAGGGTGCCACGGTCCGCCCGTCTCTCCAGCTGGCAGAGAGGACCAGCTTGTCCCAGCCCTCGGCCGCTGGCAGGCCCCCCCCGCCTCCTTGCCCGTCTCCCATGGGGGTGCATCCACACTTTTGCTGCAGAGAAAGGTGGCCAAGCCCCCCCTCCCCCCTTCAGAGAGATCAACGCCTGCCATTTCTTTTCTTTCCTCTTCAGAGGCAATTACTTTCATGTCATCATTTCTGGAGACATTTGCAGAGAGCGAGCGAGCTGGATTATCTGCTCCCCCTCCTCGCCTTGCACCAACCCAGTGGCTTCCACCCACCGTGGAGGCAAAGTATTAAATTAAATGAGGTGTCTATGAAGCTGCCGCTGTTTCAGGTCAAAGCCATGCGCTCTGTTCTGCGCCTCTATGCAAATGGCTGCATTAAACCCACTGATGTCAACTTGCAACACGTCTCTGGTGCTCCGGGATGATCAAAGCTGATTGCCGAGGCAATTACCGCAAGAGAAAAGACAATCACGGCCTCCTGCTCATCCCTGGGCTCCGAGGGTTTAATTGTTCAGCAAAGCTGAAACCGCAGCCCTGCCTCTTTGGCGCACGGGAGGGGGGGCAGCTCCTTCTCTCTGTGTGCGAGCGTGCCTGCAAGGCCACCGCCCCGCTCGGCCTCCCCAGGAGACGCACGCAGAGCCCACTCGCCCCGTCCCGTAACGGGAGCCACAACAAGCCGGACCCTGGCCCCAAGGAGGGGCAAGCCCTGCGCTGCGCCCGAGCGGGGCCCTCTCAGTCCAGCCACACTCGCACACAACCCCTGTGGCCCGAGACCTGCCTCCCGCCGAGGAGGTGGTGGCCCAGTTCCCGGCCAGGGGAATCACCCCCATCTGTGGGGCCAGGCCTCCTGACCTTCTACGCTTCCCATCGCTTTCTCTCTTCCTCCTCCTTCCGCTTCCCACCCCGGATGTCCTCCCTAAGACATGACAAAAGAGCACACTGGCCATCACCCGCGCGTGCCAAAAGCCCCTTGTGCTTGTGGGACTGGGCAGGGGATCCTGAGGACGGCTGCTCGCCTTTCTCGGCTGTCCGTTCCCAGCTCCTTTTCCTCCTCTCGTGTCTCGAGCACGGGCAGGCCTCTTTGAGCACCCGGGGCACGGAGGGAGGGGGGAAACCCTGCCAATGCCTCCTCCTCCTCCCAAGCTGGGGAGGGAAAAGAAAAGAACCTTCTGTCTGAGAGGGCGCAGCGCCGGGCAGAGCTCCCAGGCTGGCCGAGGCAGGAGGGACCAGGCACGGGGGAGCCGGCCCAGAAAGGGCCCAAGCAGGCCTCTTTGAGCACCCGGGGCACGGAGGGAGGGGGGAAACCCTGCCAATGCCTCCTCCTCCTCCCAAGCTGGGGAGGGAAAAGAACCTCAGCTTCTGTCTGAGAGGGCGCAGCGCCGGGCAGAGCTCCCAGGCTGGCCGAGGCAGGAGGGACCAGGCACGGGGGAGCCGGCCCAGAAAGGGCCCAAACCGTCCCGCGATAGCCAGGCTCCCAGGCCACAGGCGGGCACGGGCGGCTCCCGTTTCTTGACTCCTCTACAGACAAAGATCCTGGGGGACAGGCAGGGGGTCCCTGGCCCTTGGCCCCTGAGGGGCGAACGCCTTGGCCCACGTTTAATCCCGAATGATTTGCTGGTCTCTTGGAGGAACGGACGCTCCCCCGGATGGTGGCAAAAGCCAGAGAGGGGCGGCCACAGGTGGAGTCGCCCAGCGCTTTGTTTGGCCCTTCACAGCATCCTCCTCTCTCGCTGCATTGTCTCCGAAAGAAACATGGCACTGACAGTTGTCGTGTGGGCTGGGGGGGGGGGGGGGGGGGAGGGAGCCTGCCTTGTGCGACTCCTTCCTTCCCTCCCTCCCCCTCCTCTCGCCGGCTCTCTCGCCGTCCCCTCCCCACACTTCCTTTACGGGAGGCGCCATTCACAACTCCGGCTCAGCCTTTGAGTCCTTTGTTCAGAAAATGGCGCAGCCTCGGCGGTTTCCCTCTGAATGGCCTTTAATTTTGCCCAGTTCAGTGTTTGCTGATTGTTCGCTGCTGCCGGGCGAAGCTTTGATTAAACCTCCTAATTTTTTCGGCTTAGCTTTCTCTCGGAGCAGGGCGAGCCCTTGACCCCGGAGCAGAGGAAAGTGGTCAAAAGGAAAATAACGAGGCAAGGAGAGGGGAGGAGCAGAGGCGGCAGACACAAAGGGACAGAGAAGGGCCGAGGAGGAGCCGGAGAGCACGGGAGGCCGGCGGGCAGTCGCTGGGCCACAGAGCAGACGGACGGACGGACAGTCCTCCGCTCCTCCCACCTTGCTCAGAGGTCTGCAGCTCCTGCTGGCTCCTGGGTCTCCGGCAGGCTGGGTTTAGGACAGGGCTCCCCCCACCACCACCTTTGGCTCAGGCGGCTGGTGCCTCTCTTCCAAGGGCTGCTGAGCCAAAGGGGATTAATTGCCATGTCCGAGACCCATGTTGTTGGCGGGGGGGGGGGCAACAAGTACACTTCCACTGCTTGGGAAGCAGCCCAATGCCTGGAGTGGGACTGAGGCTACGATGCCCAGCTGGGCAGGCGGGCAAGGGCCAGCAGCGTCCTCCTCAGTCCCACTGGCAGAAGATTCTCCTGCTTTCCCTCTCCCTCTTTTTGACTTCTGGGAGAGTTTGGTTTTTTGTTTTTTTTTTAAAGTGTGGGGAAAGGAATCAGGCTGGACGGGCCTTCTCCTCGGCCAGCCTTGGCTTCTTCCGGATAAACATGGGGGACTGACCAGCCTGGATTTGGCTTCCCTTCAAAGCCTTTGACATCCCGTCCGTCCGTCCGTTCCCCCCCC